CGACCACGACGACCATGACGACGACGACGACGACGACGACGACGACTACTACTACTACTTCTCTACCACAACCACCACCATCACCACCACCACCACCACCACCACCATCACTACCACCACTACCACTACCACTACCACTACCACTACCACTACTACTACTACTACTACTGCTACTACTACTACTACTACGACTACCACTACCACTACCACTAGCACTACGACTACTACTACTACTACTATTACTACTACTATTACTACTACTGCTACTACTACTACTACTACACAACGGCTACGACGTCTGATAAAAGTAAAGTACAAGCACATGTGATAGTGATAGTGATGGCAGTAGCTCAGCAATAGCAGTAGCAGGCGCAGCAGCGCAGCAGCAGTAGTCGTAAACAGCAGGAGTACTAGCAGTGCCTGGTGTGCGACTTCTAGCACCGCTTGCTAGAGTACAGTACCATGCTCCCCGCATCTTACAGCCCAGGAGCCAAGCAAAGAGCTGCGGGCTGCGCATAGTACGCGACCCTGTCCTCAACGAAAACGTAAAATTCTCTGCAGCCCTTGTGACTCGGGCCACAGATCACGGTTGCTTTCTTAGGGGCTGGGTCTTCGGCCACATCGCACTTACGGACAACAACTTTGCGCGCACGCAGAAGGAAATTAGACTAGACAAAGGCCGCCCAAACAAACATGCTAATGGTGTGGTGACAGCAGTCCACGGCGCCGAAGGTTAGCGCACCAATCGTTCCACCTCACAGAAGTAGCTTCAGGGAGTATCACCGAAGTACAACTTCAGTCGACCAAGCATACTGGCAGCATGCCCTTATCCAGGTCACGAGCCTGTGTGCTTGCCATATCCTTGCTCCACCTGAGATCATGTCACACTGGTCACCAAACCAAATACATCGCAGCACCAGCTGATACCCAGATAGTTCTCCAAGGCAGCAGCTAGCACTTCAAGAGCCAGCATTGAGCCAATTTTGTGCGTGCTAAAGCTGCTGAGTAGCCCGTGATGCGTAAAACTGATCAGTAGCCAGGCCAAGCTCAATGCCCTCATTGAGCAGCTTCCTGGCCAGGCAATTGCCATCTCAAATTGCGCAAGCGGTTACACAGCCATGTGAATCAAAGTACTTTTCCAGCCCCTGCTGGCACAACCCCAAGAAGTCCAAAACAGCTAGGTTCTGTTTCATTGCAAATACAACATGTGTGGCAAATGGAAGCTGTCTTCCCACCAGCTATCCTGAATGCGGCCAGGAATCTCAATCCCAGGAGGGAGGGAATGTGTTGCACTGCGTACCTGTGTGCAGGCGGACTCTTGACCCAGAAGTTCCACTACATTGTCGCTACATAGAAGCTTGAAGCTTGTGGCAAGCGTTAGCCTCGCTGATGAAGTCATCATCGCGGAACTGCGCACACACCTCTACATCGCTCGCCAAACAGCAGTAAGCAGCAAAAACAAGAACATCCTACTTTGCTGTCTAACGCCAAGCCCAGCGACAATCGCAAAGCAGACTTGGCGACCATGGGCATCCTCTTCGATCCCTCCCTCGAACGCAATGCAAAAGTCAGCGCGGGCACCATCTGCCTTGAGGTGAATCTTATCAGGTCTTGCAGCTGCTGCTTACAAAGGAGCCGAAGAATTCTCGAGCGATTGCTGTCTTTTATTGCGTCTCTCATGGACTTTGCTATTTTTGTGGCTTTGCTTCCCTCTTCTTACATGTTCGAGGCACCGTTTCTCGTGCAGCGCGTAATCGTTGCAGCGCGCCACGCCGTGTCTCCTCGTGCCCACGGGGCTGCGCGGAAACGCCGGAGTCTGCGTCAACCTCAAGCTGAGGTGCATCCACAAATGGCAGTAGCTCCCGACAACTCTAGGTGTGTTGACTAGGTTAGACGCTCAGACCCTCACACACACACAACATCAACAATGCAATGACGCCGCAGCTTGAGCACAGTACGCCTATTCAATTTGAACGGAGCTGGTAAAGCTGAATAACACGACTGGCAAAAAAAAAGGATATCTCTAGCTTCGGGACCTATTTGCTGTGACACACCTTCTGATTGCTGCCCTGGCACTCCAGAAAGCTCCAAAGGTCTATTCGTGACCTGCTGGAAGCCTTGCCGTGCCGCCTAAACAGCATGCTTGCATTGGTTCGCAATGTGGACTCTTCTATACCTGCTGCGCCACCCAGCAAGTCACACTTTGCGATCCCTTGCAGGCCTCAAGCTTGGGAGCGCTCCGGCTTGCGACAACAACCGAGATGGCGGCCATGGCAAACAAGACAGCTCTAAGCAGGCTCTTTGGAATTTGCAATGACTCAACCGGTTGTACAGCCCATAGCTCATGGAAGTTGAGCAAAGTCCGGGGCAATCTTGACGGATAAACTGGAAGTAAAGCAGGCTCTAGACTCTAGAACGAAGATTATCGGTCTTGTTCTAAGCAGACAATGCGTGACAATATCAAATTCGGTCGTCTGTTCTGCACAACGGCGCCATCATGTTCCTGCGGCTTGCTTTTGATCTGGAATGGCCGGGGTCAGAGTTGCAACCACAAATCCCAAACGTTCTCAAATATCCGACCTCAGCGCACTCGAGCATCTAACGACACTGAGATCAGCTCCCCTGTTTCTCAGCAGAGGAAACAAAGTATCCGGCACCGCGCAGACGGCGCTCCTTTGGTGTGCTGTGGTGCATGCCAGGCCACGCAAACCACAGGGAAGCTTTTTCACAACAGAGCTCTTTTGGTTTCGCAGTGAATGCAGGCAACATGGATTTGCAGAGGATCCTTCAGGACATCTCTTTCGAAGCAGAGGTTGACGATGGCAACTGACTGGCGGTGCAGGGCATAAGTGACTGGCCAGCAGAAGCATGAGCCAAACAGATGTCCCAACACTCCAGCGCAGTGTGCCCCTTCCAGCAAGCCATTCCTTAGAGCCTTTTCCCTGCACACATGGAAGATCATGGGAAGCCTTGTGCTCAACACTCAGCAATGATGTTCCTGTCGGCTGGTCCTTTGCACTGCGCAGGCTTTTCGAAGCAAATTGAAGCTAGTGCGCTCTCCAAATGCGATTTGCAGGAGTCTTGGGTTGAAGCGTCTATAGCGAGGCCTCGCGCAAAGGCGGCAGATAACTTCCTGTAAAGCGAAGAATACAAGCTCAGCTTCGAGCCACTCTTCTGCAGCAGCCCTCCGAGCAGGCGTGGCATAATGGCAGCAATGACCTGTTATGTGTGTCAGAAGCTGCATCCTGCCATGCTTGTTCATTGCTTGGCCAAACTGTTACAGTCTGACATGCTCTGATCTCATCTGCATGGCTTCGTGGAGTGCTGCTGGACAGATGGGGCAGTGGCGCAGTCTGCCTCGAGAATGTCCCCATCTCCTCTGAGGGGTCTCGTGGCTCAGGTGCTAGTTGAGAAGAGAGTGCTGAAAGACTTGCTCAAAGGATAGCTTCCTTCCAAATCCCACTAATCCACTCGTGCAGTCAGGTTGCCTAAGTGCACCCGCACATGCTTGGAAGCAGCGCTGGGTTCCTCCAGCCTGAGGCTTCTCAAGCGCTTGCACTTGTGAACAAATGGCGAGAATCAGAAAGTAAACGCTGCCAACAGGGGATCATTCCTTTGAATTTTCGCCAGGCTTTTCTGCATGAATGCGGCTACGAAGGATCTGTGTGCCCAGCTACAATCTCTGTGCTGCAGCAATGCCACGGAGCACGAGCAAAAGCTGCAGGCAGCGCCTTGCAGCAAGATTCTGGGGCCCATGCACTTCGTAATCGAAGCCTCTGCAGAATGGCGTACAAGCCCCTGCGAGTAGCCGCTGATCAAAGCTGGCTACGGCTTCATCCTGGCACTTCTGTGGGCATCCGGATGGGGCCTTGCAGCCTCTACGCTTGAACTGAAGATTCGGCATGCCTGCATGATGAGACCTCGCAGCATGAGTTCTTCACGGAGCACGGCGCCAAGTCGAATGCCACCAGTTTGGGCGCGCTGATGTCGGGTGCTCGGTGCTCTGCCGCGACTTCAACGCATCATGAAACATTCAAGGCTGATCGAACTTGAGGGCTGCAATCTCCGCCAAACCATGGATTTCCCCAAGTCAACACTTTTCCATCCAACCGCAACGCCGCGAAGGCACTGCAAGAGCCTTTAATCTCATAGATATCAAAAAGCTCTGCCTGAACCGAGGAACTATCGCCTCCGTGGTCAGCATGACCCCAGCTCACCACACTGCCATCAGACTTTATAGCAGCAAATGCACCTGACGAAGCTGTGATGTGCTGGACCGCCTTCAACTGATGCTGCACCGAGCTGCTGTCGCCGCCGTGCGGTGCAAAGCCCCATGTAACAACCGACTCATCAGATAGGACTGCTGCAAATGCACTGCCTGATGCCTGTATGTCCCGGACGTTCTGCAATCGAGCCTGTACTGACCCACTGTGCCCGCCATACAAGCTATGACCCCACGTCACCACATTGCCAGCCGCTGTCAGGGCAGCAAAAGCGCGTCCGTTAGATACGATCTGAGACACCTGCCGCAACAGTTGTTGGACGCTGCTGCTGTCACCGCCAAACTCTCCATGACCCCAAGTCACCACACTTCCGTCGAGCAAAAGAGCAGCAAAAGCACCACCCGAGCCCTGCACATCCTGAACATCAACTAGCTTCTCCTGCACCTGGCTGCAGTCACCACCGTTTCGCAAGTCCCCCCACGCTACCACCGTCCCGTCGAGCAGTACTGCAGCGAATGCGGTACATGCAGCACGGAGGATGCGAACGTTATGGAGGCTCTGCACGCGGCTGGTGTCGGCCCCATGAGCACCGATTCCCCACGCAATGACCGAGCCATCGGATCTCAGTGCAGCAAATGCACCGCTGGAGGCACAAACCTGAGTTACACATCTGAGCTCGTGCTGGACATTTCTGCTCGAACCTCCGCAAACAGGATGCCCCCAAGTAACTACAGTTCCATCTTGACGTATGGCAGCAAAAGCACCACTGCCTGCTTCTATTGACTCGACATCCCGAAGATGTGTTTGCACTTCGCTACAATCACCGCCAAAATCAGCATCGCCCCAGGTTATCACAGAGCCGTCACGAAGCAACGCAAATGCCTTGGACATATGACTGGAGATCAGGGCAGCATGCCTGACTGTGGCAGAAACTGTATCTCCGTAGCATAACTTGACGTCTTTGAGTTTGCTTGTCCGTGACAGGACTTTGCCTTCACTCGAAAGCAGGCCGCCGATCATGACCTGTAGCTTATCCTGAGCGAGCACCCTGAGATCATTCACTGTCGCTTCGAACTCCAGGCATACCGAGGCTGTTTGACCACTAAGAAGGGCAACATGGAGCATCAAAGCCATGAAGGCACCGTCTTCGAATCACAGGGTGCGGAAGGTATCTACGGATCCATGGCACACTAATGCGGCAAGGTGCAGCAGGCTTGCAGATGTGAACAATTCTGTGTGGTCAGATTACATATAGTTCGGGTTCTGTCGGAGTGTGTTCTTTACGCGGCAAATAAAACCAGACCCATGTCTACTTCAACCAAAATGTCAGTTGCATAATTTTCCTGTCGCTCTCAGGCACGGAAGGGGCATGCAAAAATCATGCAACGGCAGTCTAGCTGCAAGGCATCGCGTCTTGCAGTTACTCAGACGATTGGGGCTGCCGCCGTCGAACATCCGACCCCAGCCTCAGGTCTACGATCAGTAGACAGGGATCTTGCAGTGTTGGATGTGCAGCTGTCCCACAGTTTGTTTGAGACCAGGTTATCCCTGTTCTGACCTCGACGCGACGTGTGAGAATGCGAAGTGAATCATCCAACATGCCAGAGTGAATGCAGTATGAGGTATAGCCTAAACTCCTAGTATCCCCCTTCATAACCCCTGTAATAGTCCCCTATATAATGCCGTTTAGGAGGTTAGACTATAGCCAACAGGCATGAGGATGTATCGTTAGGAGTGTGCGGGTTGGTATACGAGCCTTTGATGTCGCTCTGGTTCTCGTTTTTACCTGACCTGTCAACGATTCTGAAACTCCTGGGCATCGCGCCGGATGTCCACCGCGCGCGTACCCGGCGCCGGGTGCTTGAGTGAATCCTAGCCAACATGCACTTCCTCGTCCCAAATGAATCTCCACTCTTCACCTTGAGGCCTCCCCCACGAAAAAGCATGAACGGCATGGCTGATCCCGTAAAATCCGCAGCCCTCCCTGCTTGAATCCTCCAGGGCGCCAGTGAGACTGCTCAGGCCGCTGCGGAAGGAGTAGCTACCTGAAAAAGCAGTGATCCTGTTGCACACTGACACTGATCGCTTTGACGCTGCAAAAGAGGCCGAGCTAAGCAGCTTGCGACCCCCAGTTGCCACTCGCTGTAGCAGGGGGTCCTGACATGCCAGCAAGCCGGGGCAGAAATCCTTTGGATTCTTTTGATGGTGTTATCCGCTGTGCCTTTAGATCTTGTTTCACTCTGCAATTGCCACTCTGCCCTGAGGCTGTTCCAGCCATCAAGTCCCAGCTTCTGCACCGTATCCGCATTCTGCTCTAAAACTCTATCGCCAGCAGCCGGGTCTGCAAGCGCTGCAGACACATCGCAAAGCCGCAGTAAATGGAACGTTGGCCACGGCGCCCGCTGCGGGATGCTTGCCAAAACGCTCTCCGCATCATCTTCATACGTCGCATCTTCATCTCCTTCTGTGTAACTCTCCTCCTCAGCCTCGTCTAGGACTTGGTCGTCCAGATCTTCGTCTTCAAGATCTTCCAGACCTTCAGATCCATCCTGCAGAAGTTCCGCCAGATACCTTCAGCATTCTTTGCGTATTGTTGTTCGGGGGACAGCCTAAACCGCTCTGGCAAACTGGTTTTTGCAAAACAGCCGAGCGGGCTGCGTGTATGAAAAGCGCTGCTCTCGTCCATCATCGAGGCGTACCAGAAACCTGACTCTTATTTCATCTTATTTCAACATGTCGCTACTAAACCGCCGCAGTGGTTCAGGAAAATTGCGTCCCAAAGAGCGCTTCTTGACCGTTCTCGTCTTGCACGTCTGGGTCCAGCACTGTGGCCTAGAACTGTACGGGCCAGCACATCTGCGGGTGCCATGCTAGCACACTGTCACCCCGACGGCACATTCCCCAAGGCTGCCTCGTGCGGAACTCCATCTACTGGCAGGGACAGGACATCCTCAACCTCAAGGACGTGGCCAAACCTCAGCAACTGACCCAGGTTTGTTGGAGGAATCCTATAAGATGGTGTGCCCTAAATGATCGTGCATGCAAAGCCATCCACATCGCGGCTTAAGAACATGGGTGACTTTTGCAGATGTGGACCAGCCATTCGCATAACTACATCGCAACCACACTACAGAAGGAAGGTCTTCAAGCCCCGCACAAGGGTTGATGTTGAAATTGCGGGTGGAAGGCAACCACCTTGACCCCCAATTCTTCTTCGAGCGCCACCCCGTTCTTCAAGGTGTTGCCAAAGAATTCTGCGAAGCATTCAAAGTCCTCTCGTGCGACAGGCAGTCTGCAGGCGGTCACTGTCCACCTATTGCGCACATAGCAAGCGGTTGACCCCCGCGACTGAGGCCGTCGCTTGCCAATTCTGGACATGAGGGCATACCACGAGGCTAGTGGTAGCCACGCCCGGCGGACCATCCAGCTGCTTCGGCAGCGCCCGTGCCTCTCTTTGGAGGTCCTGCAATACCTCTGCAGGTGTGGATCCGAGGCTTGTAGTCACCTCAGGTGCAGCTTCCCGCTGCCATCTGCGGCCATGTGCAATCAAGACTAGGTAGCGCAACACATGTGCCAAATGCTAGAAACAGCCCTCACGAAAACCAAGCAGGCACCTTGATTCCGCCAGACTCTTCTGCAGTTTTGGCCCATGGGCATAGATTCATGCCAATCACCAACTTTCCCAACCAAGTTTTGACAGCAGCTGCGTGCTCATCAATCGCGCATGTCGCCGGCCGTTTGCGTACACCCAGCTTGCGTTCTGGCATCAGTCTCAGTGCACCTCAGCATGCACTGAGACCCCATGACAGCTTGTGTCAAGCCATGGTTTTGCAGGGTGGTTCAAGATCATGTTCCTTTTAAGGAAAGCGGCCGACGCCACAAACGAGCGCCACGTTCATCTCCCGCCCGAAAACTTTGGAGCAGGACCTACAAATCCAGCTGATGCTGATGAATCAACGTACTCACCTTCGCATTCTGCTGATCCTAGTTGGGATTTGACCGTTTAAACTCTAAAAACGCACAGAACTGACCGCTGACAGTCCTTGCCTGAATCTGGTGCGGTGCTGGCTGGAGGCCCCATCCATAGCCTGGCCAGGAATGGTGCCATGCAGGCAGAGCCTGTCTCCCCCCAGAGAGGTGTGTCGTTGCAGGACAGGGCTTGGCGCAAGCCATGCCATGATGCAGCACAGCTGCCTACCGCTCAGTGAGGTTAGTGTGGATCCAGAGTGTCTGACGTTTGACGTGCCCAACAGTCTTCTAGCTGCTGTATTGTGCATGCTTCTCAATGCGAGAACTAACAACATTTGAGCACTGGCAGCAGTGGCACTCACACGAATAGAGTTTCCGTTTTCTTTAACATACAACTTCAAAGCCAGGCAGTGTCAGCTCCAGCAGGTCGAGGGCCATCCAGCTGCGCTGTCTGTAGGCCGCCACGGGCGCAAGTGCTGCCTTGGCACTAAGATGACACAGAACTGAAGCCACATATCTCGGAAACTCGTGGCTTGCCACTTGGCCTGCAGCCGAGTCACCCCGACAAACACAGAGCCAAAGCGCTGCTCGTTCTGCCAAAGCCTGGGGAAGCAAGTCCTCACGGAAAGGTCTTTGGCATTGCCAGCGAGCTGGCCCCGGCAGATGGGATCTGCAAGGTTAGTGGCCAGCATACGGGATGCACGCCGAGATGTAAAAGCAGCAACGCTCTCATCAGGCAGGCGCCCTCTTGGCCATAAGGGTTCCGCTATCAGTGCAGGGCCATACAACAGCACGTGATGAGCTCCGGGTACAAGCTGCACGCGGCCACGGTGCAGCAAATGCCGACGTGCGGAGGCTTCGATGTTGGCTCCGAGAACCTCCTCGTCCAACTTCAGCATCTTGGCCAGGCCCAAGGCCTCCCGGCCGTTCTTGTTCACCAAGATGCTGGAATGGAAGCCTTGCTCCAAGATCTGCCGCTTGGGTCCTGGCCAATAGCGATACACAGACTCAGACTATTCCAGTGCCAATTGACGTCCTCTTGTGCTGCACACCAAGCCGCCAAGGCGATCGGATGCCTGAAGCTGCTACACTTCTCAGGACATGCGCTGCAAGGCTGCTCCAAACATCCTCAGCATCACTTTTGATTAAACACCGTTTCGTCTGCAGCCTCCAGAACTGTGATCTGTGCGTGAGGAAGCTGTCTTTGCAGCAGCCTTGCCGACACCAAGCTCGCGATGCCTCCAGGCTGGATCTATCCTCTGGGAGCGCTTTGGGGTCTCATCGCCCCAGCTGAAAGGCTTAAGCTTCCGGCCCCCTCCAAGCACGCAAAACTTGGGGATGTCGGCAGCCATGGCTCCCTCTAAGCATAGTCTTAGTACATGCAGTGACAATGTGCTCCAGTTGGGGCTGATATCTGCAACAAAAGCTAACGCTGTACTGGATGTTTGCAGACTGCTGACGAAATGAACTGAAGTGACTGTAAAGTTCAGGTAGTCCGAAAGCAACTGGATGCCACCATGCCATGTACTAGAACATTTTTTGTTGCTCAACCGGCCGGTAGCAAACTCCGAAGGCAGGCGCTTCGACCTCGCAACATCTGCTCAATGATGAGACCCCGTCGATCCAGAGCTGAGCTACGCTCAGATGCGGGCGGCGCGTCGCTGCCAGCTCTCGGGTCAACTTCTCCGTCTCTGCCCGACACCTTGCTTGCTGCAAGCATTGTTGCAGTAAACTCAACACTAGGCAATCCAGAACTTCAAGGTGTCGAGTCCCGAACTCTTGCACTCGTGCAGATCCCTGTGGCATGACAGTTTCAACGGCCAAGAATGGATGCAGGATGGTGCAGGGCACAGCAAAAGCAGCACATAAAAGCCCATGGCCATGAACGGCCCAACTCAAGTGTGTCGCGGCTACTGGATACGTTTTGACACATTTTATTTTGTAGCCTCCGGACCATCCGTGCAAGCCGAATCAATTGCAACCTATGTACTTGCCATGATAGGGCCTCCTCAATCTCCTTGCTGAGGCTGGCCTTGCCAATGCTTGCAGTCTTTGAGTCATGCCATTTTTCTGCACAGCTCCGAGACCCACAACAGCGCAAGTCATCCTCCCGTAAAGCCACAACAGGCCTGCTTCCAGAACCTCAAACAAACCTTCAATTGTTTTCCAACTTGCATTATTGCATGAAAGGTTGCTACTCATCTACTCTCAAATGCCAATTGCAGCCAGAACTTTGAGCATCTTTGAGCTACGGGAAACGCAGCGTAATAAGCCATCGAACCTCAACTTCTGCTTGGTTTTGGTCATGGTCATCATTGCAGCTGTTGGTGAGGCAACAGCCTGTGTCGCGCGCCGCTCGTTTAGGCGCTCGCGAAGGTCAGAACCTGGAATGAGATCATGTGCCCAGGCGGGAACGTGCCGCCGCCAACCCAGAGCACATCCTGGCCTCTGCGCATTACCAGCTGCCTACCATGAGTCAGCTGAGCAGCAGCCACCTGACCAAGCGGTGAAAAAGTGTTAGTCCAGATGCCAAAAGCTTGCGCTGTGTTCGGCCTCACACTTGGCCCGCGCTTCTAAGAGCTGCGCATCTGCAGCCTGCGACCATAATGAAGGCAGAACTGTCTACAGTCCTGTCCATTAGTAATTGGATTGTTACGACAATCGCAGAATACGCCAAAGAGAAGTTGGTTGCTTTTTGTGGCACTGCGCTTCGGCAGCGCAGCCGGGCCTCGCTCTCCAGCTTTGCTTCCCGGGCCCTTCCTTGCACGGCCTCCAAACGAAGATCAGACGGTCCCAGGTTTTAGTGCTTGAAGCGGCTTGAACTGGCTTATGCCAGGTACACCTGTCCTGCCTTCGTCTGCGCCTCTTCGGCATGCACTGCGTGCTGGAGCTTATGGACCTGCTCCCAGGCGCAGGCGTAGTTCCTCGGCAGCCCAAAGCTCCAAACTCTTTGTTGCCAAGCGTGTAAAGGAAAGTCATCATCAGGGACTTGAGCGTGTGATTGTCGAGCTGTCGTTGACATGTCAGACTGGTGCTGCAAGTTCTTAGTGAAGCGCGTAACCAGCTCCTCTGCTTTGGCGTGTTCCGCTTGTAGCATGAACCTGCTCTGCTGCGATTTAGAAAGCCAAATCTGCACCGCAATGATGTCGCAACCTGCTCTTGTCTCTTGGCCCGAGGCATCTGTTCGCGGCTCTCCAGCATGCAACCTCCATGGAATGTCGAGGTGTCTTCACGCACGTAAGCTGGCGGTGGACTTACACCGCGGACGGCAAAGCATGATCACTGTAGTGCTTAAGCGGTCTGACCTTCTCGAATTCGCTTCAAGTTCAGCGCCACAACCTGCACTGTCTGCAGTCGCATTCAGGCTACTGCGTGGGAACCGTTACCTCAATCCGTGGAAGCGTCATCTGATGTCATTGCAGACTATTTTCTTGCTTCAGCTACAAGCAACTTCAACAAAGATCCTAGGAAAGTGGCCGAGCCTGTGCAGAAGAGGCTTCCTGAGACTGCACAGAGCTGGGCTCAACATCGCTCAGATGTGCCTTGATGCTTCTCTGATGCTTAGGCCAGGCTTCACTCTGCAGCTCGGATGTTTGCGCATGAAGCTCGCGTAGTTCCGCCGCCTGTGCTCTTCATGATCGTGCGCTTGCACCGCGCTGGGGCTTGGCACCTGCAAGGCGTCGCCACGCCATTCCTCCGCCACGAGGCCCCTGTGTCTCGCGGCTGCATCGCCTGTAGTGAATTCACACAGAAATCGAACTTCTAGCAAGGCTGGATAGTAGACATGTGCCTGTTGCTACTGTAAGCTGGGTCCGTGCCAGCAGAACGCGAGCTGATATTTCACTTCCGTTGCTTTCAGAAATCAGGGCACTGCTGCAGACAGCGCTGACGACCCTGCCGCTCACTGCAGCTACGGCAAAAAAAGCCAAAGCACTCAATTCAGCATCAATCTCTCCAATCCGTCCTTGCAGGGCACTTCAGTTTCAGCACGTACCGATGCGTAATCGCATTTGTCCATTCAACACGAAACCTGATGGGTAATCCACCTTACTCTTTGATGGCATGTGACGCACCGCATCTTCATCTGTCCTCGAAGGCTACTTGTGGCCTCCCTGGTGTGGTCAAGATGCCAGGACTCTCTGACCAACTCCTTGCGCAGATGCCAACGCTGATGCAGTCTGTGTTCTGAGCTTCAGTGCTTCAGTTAACAGTTTGGTCATAGTAGTACTATAACTACTAGCAGCCATCATGAGGAAAAAAGGTGCATGCATGTGGGTCTGTCCTTAGTCAAGCCTTCCTTGGCTGACTCCAGCTCCAGGAGCTGCTGGCCTTAGCTAGGTTTGACATGCGCTGAAGCCTTCCTGCTGTAAAGAAGTTGCTTTTACATGGCTTTTGCTGTTGTTTTTTTTCGCTCCACTAAGCTTGGAGCTTCTACTTCAGCTGGAGTCATCTTGCTTCAAGGAGGCTTTAGACGCCAGCATGATACAGCTGAGAGTTGGAGATTTCGAATCTTTCAGCTCTTCTTGCTTAGAGGTAAGAATGTGTAAGCCTTGTTCCCTGCTCGTGTGTCGTAGGCCAGGCTGCTGCATACTTGCTCATCTTCCCATTCGCTCGCCAGTTGTGCCTCAGAACACATGACTTGAATACGGAGCTTGACATGTTGAGGTAGACTTTTGACTAGAATGATGCATCAGGGAGCTGAACTTCGACTGCAACTTCCTTTGCTTGCACTAGGCGTCGCTGAGAATCCTGCCGTGAGCTCTTCTGTTTCGGTGCGGAAGAGGGCTGCAGCCTGGTGCAAGATGCAAACAAATCAGCTGCATACACGTCATGTTCGCTAAACAGGGGAGTAAGCCATCTTGGTGGGTCTGCCTACAATGGTCAGTGGCTTGCAGGAAGAAGCGCTCTTCGAAATGTGTTTCTCCGACCGCGCAGGCAACGCGAGTCTCCTGCAACGTCACGCGCAGATCGAAGATAGCTCTGGGGGATCCTCGCTTACCTGTGGGCACACATGCTCGATGTTGAGCCTCCGTTGCGCTTGTCACAGTCAGCCTCTGTAGCCGACTTGCCCATAATGATAGCAGTCCAACCAGGATGAGACTCGCAGAGCCATGGGTCAAATTTGCACTCGCTCAAGCTTTTGTAGATGTACTTGTACATGGGCGACTTTGCTTTGCCTCCACACACCTTTTTTGTGTAGTCTGCATACTTGCAGCAGCAGGTGTGGGTCTGGCCCGTGATGTCAAGGTCATCGATGTTCTTGCTGTGGTGAGCAGAACTTTCTTCATCTTGCTCAGCCTCGTGCCTCAGCTTAATTGTCGGGACCCGCATTCGAGTTCCTAGGCAATGCTCTTGGACCTTCCCTTATTCCAAACAACTCATTGCTCAAAAGCTTGAACCCAGCCAACATTGAAATGGCCAGAGCTGCGGCGCGAGCTCAGCCAAGCTCTTCGCATCCTCTAAAGCTTCCTCGGCGTCATGACGCCAAGCCACAACTGCGCAAGTGAGTGCAGAGAGCACAGCAACACCTGAGCTGGTTTGGCCTCCAAATGTTTGCTACACTTATGAGTAATGTCCCGATGTGAAGGAAACATGAAGGTTCTTCTTATGTGGCACCCAGGCACGCATGGCAAGTTTCATAGCAAACAACGGGAGAGACGTTTTGAGTCAGGGCTGCTTTGAGCCTAAAAGGTGCTCTGAGCGTCAGACACGCATGCGCACTGCTCCAAAGCAGCGATCGAAGTGAAAGACTTACAAAGAAAGAGAAGAAAGGAAGAAGGGTGCTGCTTGTTTGGCGGCCTTCTGAGTGGCTGCAGCCTGGGCAGCCAAAGTGCTGCTGTCTGCACGAGTCGAAAGGACGGCCTCAGAGACGGAAAGGAGGAATGGCAGGAGCTGGCACATGCTCTGGCAAACTGATGCAACTTGCTGTGGGACAAGTCGCCGATTCTTCCGTGGCTAGCTGCGCTACCTGCTGGTGGAGCGAACGTTGTTGACAAGCGCTGCTTTTTTTTTTCTCAGGCGCACTTAGGACTCAGGCCCACCTTGACGCGATGCTCTTGGCGAGCAGATTGGAGGGACCACAGTAAGGAGTCATGCTCCTGTCCAGTACATGACCAAGATTCAAACGCAGACCACCTACCTGGGTCACCAACCAATGCCATGCTACGGAAGCCCTCGAAGCAAGGTCTGCAGCTACACCCCTGATGACTGATGGACTCCCCTGTGCAGTTCTGTGATGAGGTTTGGACAGTCCTCCTCCACACAAGCTCGGGTGGCATTGGTGTGGGTGAGATTCAGCATTGCTTCCTACATGGCACGAGTAGACTTCTACACACCTGTGCAGTGACAGCAGCAGGAACAGCCAGCTCGTGTGCCTGCACCTCAAGCTGGCCCCATCCAACTGCACCCAGCAAATCCAACGAAATTTGCCCAAGAGCAGCGCAGTCCTGAACATGACGTTTGGCGAGCCTAAAAGAGACTTGGGTGTGCAGGCATGAGCCGCTAGGCGGCGTCCATCTCCTCAGCAGTCTCAAGGAGCCGCAGGGCTTCACCACGTCTGTCCTGGGTCAGGGATCAGCAAGGTATTCAGGCTTTGACTTTGACTTACAATTTCTGCAGAGCGAGCTGGACAATGCGCGCTTCAATTGCAGGATCGTCCTTCTCAGATGCGCGCAAGCTTCGAATGTTTCCTGAGCCACAGGAAGTACCACTGAAAAAGCTCACCCCTGCGCACGTCTAGCCAATCTTGAAGGGCCTACTAACCTCACTTGCCGGCCCACTGCAATTATTGCTTTGGATTGTCTGTTGATAAATTTCTGGCCGTTAGGATAGAAAAGGATGAACTCACGCTTTGGGCTTCACTGGTGGGGAGCAGATTCAGCAGGAGTTGTAGCATTGATCCTCTTGAGCGCGTCGGTTATTGGAAAGGTGCATCTGAGGTTTTGCATTTACCCTTCATTTCCCGTCATTCTGGCGGAGAGGAGCAAGTGGTTGTGGACATGGTGCTGCGTTAAACGAATGATTGCATTTCACAGTGGAAGCCTTGCACAGTTTTTGCGCATCCACATCTGACTCTGGTTGGGATGCCCTTGCGGTGGTTGCTTCCCGAGCGCTCTGCGCCAGGAATCGCAGTGTTGTTCAAACATGTCCAGGTGGACACTTCACCGACGCGTTCCACTCACATGCTATGATTACTTCTGTTGGTGTTCAACGCCCATAATTCCCAGCATGTACCACGATTTACCGAGCTGCTCTTGCAGACCAGGTGCTCAGAAGCTGGCTCTTTTCGTCATGGAGGCCCTCTATCTCTCCTGACCAACTAGGACGCTCAGATGCTTCAAGTAGGTACTTGAAGAGGCGGAGGGCCTTCACTTTGGAAACGGAGAGCAACGGCTGGGCTGGAGGCAAACATTTGCGCAGCCTGGGCTTCTTGCGGGCGACCGCGGATTGCAGGTGCTGATGAAATGGCATGAACTGGCCTTCTCCTCTAGCTGTTCTGCATAGTGGGACTCTTGCCGGACGGCGCCCTAACAGGTCTTTCAAGCTGCTTGTGTGTTTGAACACGTTACGGCCACCAGTACCGCCTACGCGACAGCAAGCGGGCAGTCTTTGCAACGGCCTGCCTCCAGCTTTTTTAAATCCCGGAACTGATGCTCCAGAGCTCGAGCAACTAATCGAGCCTGACAAATTTTTCCCTGCTTAGACATCATTCCATCCAGCACAAATGCACAGCACTGTCCAGTAGTCTTGCAAAGCCAAAGCCTCGCGTCGCGACTGGTCTAATTTGCATCGCAGTTGCCATACTGACCTGCGATTCCAGAAAGGACATGATTTGCTTCCTCGCTTTTGGAAAGCATAAACAAACCCGCAGAACGAAGCAGTCAAGCTCGGCTCGCTGCTGCCTCTCCCGTACAACTTCAGCTTTCCCAGCATCCTGGCATTCTTAGTAGGAGCTTGGCCACAAGTAATGCTGCAACCGCCGCATGATCCACAAGTCTTGTTGATTCTTGACTATCAGGCATCAAATTGGCAGAGCCCATCTTGATGCTTGCCGCAGCCTGCGGTCGGCGATCGGAACTTTGCGCCTGAGCATGCAGCGAACAATCTTGTACCGTCTCTGTCTTCGGTCCGCGACAGCCTGTCTGAGCGCCGCCCAATAACTTCATTCCATTTTGTGCTGAAGGCGAAGAATTGAATGAGGAAGGTGGAGGCCAGTCTCCGCGACACATGTTTCAGACTTGCGAGACTTCACTTTGTGGTGAAGACAGGAGCCCTACTAACTTCCAACTTCTGCGGCTGCCACTATGATGATAACGGTGACGGGCAGAAACTCATTGAGCAGCTCGACACCATTCGACATGAAAAACCAACCACGACATTTCATGACTTCAATGTTAAATACCCTTTCCGAGAGCATGGCGCGAGGCATCCAGTGTTTGGTAGCGTCGCGCGGGCATCGCCGTCCGAGAGCATATGAGACTTCAGAGTTGTGGGGCGGGGTCCTGCTAAGAAACAATCCAATACCAGTATCTGCTCTGAAGCTTGCTCTGTGCCACGCTTTTGAGAACATATCTTATTGTTGACGTTGCGCAACTTCTGGTGTATCTGACACTTTGTCGATGGATGTAGCGCGACTACCCTGGAGCATTATGTCCAGAGATTCGGGCTTCAGCTGCATGTAGATGGAGCTGATTGCCTGCCCGTTGCTTCACCATCATATGCTGACCATCTGAGCATTGTGCGGCTCCAGAATTGAATACCTACCTCGCTGTCATGCTCAAGTTGCGCGGCTGAGGTTCAGGATGGTTTGGCCAAGCTTGGCTTCCCAACGTGAGCCAAACGCCCAATCGGATCGGCCTGGATGCACCATGCTTGATGGGTTAATGACATTGACTCGATTGCTTGGCTCTGCATCTAGCCATTCACTTGCAGCTTTTTTTGCTTGGTCAGGGCGGCTTCTGGCCTTCTGACCTGCAAGCACTTTGCTTTGCGCTGCCTGGACCCTCTGACTCACCTGCTCTTATCTTCATCTCACCACTCGTTGGGCAGGCATGTGAATTCCGACAGTTTCTAGCCCTAGCTTTTCAGGCTACCAACCGCTTCCGCAGGCTGTTGAGTTTTCTGCTCCCGGAGGCACTGGCACCTGAAGTCAGCTAGCCTCCTGCAGTCGAAGCAGTTCTTCTGCCTGTCAGCTTCAAGACTTTGCAAAATTTCCATTGAAGAATGTACTGGCAAACCGAAACAGGTTATGAAATCATATTACATTTGCCAGGAGATTCTATCACGGAGACGTTCCGGATCTCATTCAATCGACTAAAGGACAAGGTGGAAACATGCCTGTACACGAGAGCACAAACTTCATGTTGCCTGCCATGCCACATCGGCTACTATGAAAGGAAGGCTCACTACGAGCTTGACAGAAAACAGGCACATAATTGCAATTGCCGAAAAGCAAAATCAATAACATACATGTCCACTTCAAACGAGCGGGTCCCTAGCTTGGGCTAGCAACAGAAGCTCATGCTGTTGTCTTTGGTCCATACCGCCCCTGCGCAAAAACTCCCTTATCAATATGTTGTGATGTCTTCAGCATTGTCACTACGACAAGCCACAGCAAGACAAGACTGAACATAATGGCATCCTACCGCAGCATTCATTCTGATCTGTCATGCTGCTGCCAACGTGGTGACAAAGGGAGAGACAGAGACGCTCCTCTTTGAAGACGTGCTTGCAGTCGGCCATGGCTGCCTGGCGGCAGAGGCAGAGATACTGATCACAGGCGTTGGTTGGGGATTGAAGGATCCAGAACATCATCTGACATACACGTCGTGTGTTCTGTGCCTCGAACTCCTTTATTCGATCTTTCAGCGCCTCTTCGATGACCTCGAACAAGACTGCATCATGTTGTGATGAACGGACAGCACTTGCATCTTGCCTCAACAGTCTGCATCTCCCCCAGATCCAGGTCTTCGGAAGAGAACCATGGCCTTGGATGAAGCAAAGGATTTAAGAAAGACAGAAAGGAGCGCTCAGCGAATTTTGCTTCGCGACGCTTCGCATCATCTTCAGCTTCCGGCTGTGGCTCTGGGATGTCCACGGTGTTTTGATCATCCAGTCGCCGAATCTGAGGCGAACGGTGGCGCGACACCCCTACTTACTGGTTCTCAGTAGGGAATAAAGGAATATATCATATCGGGATATTGGGGACTATATTCCCCTTACTTTTCCCTAATAAGAACCAATAAGCCTAGTGTGGCAAATGTTGGCAATGTATGGAAGCTGCGCCCAGGCTTAGGCCTCACGATCCAGGTCCGGCAAGCGTAGTCGCTTTGAGTCAAGGGCCAACAGCTCAGGGCACAGAGAGCGCAAGCTCTTGGCATACCTGTCCATTGCTTAACGGCATTTTGAAATCTCATCTGTGGATAGAGGAAGGGATTAAGTATCTTCTGATCGAAAGGAAGCTGAGGCATGGACTCTGGCTGCGTGCAGACTGGACATGCGTCTGAGTTGTCCTCTCCATAGGAAAGAAAGCTCATTATCTGCCCTGAAGGGACAACAGAATGCAAGACCAGCAATGATACTGCAGCTCTCAACAATACAAGGCACAAGCTCACTTGAAACTATAGCAGTCCACATTCTGGAAGGACAGGTGGCGCAAAGAGCGTGATGCTTTCAGACCTGGCGCTTTGTATCCAGAAAGCTGCCGACAGCTCATGCAACTGCTTAGAAAATCATGGGTGGCAGTCTTGCCGATAATGAATGCGCCACCAGGGCAAGCTCAGAAACGGATCTTGACAGTGCTTGTGTTCCTTCCTTCAGCTTCGCTCTGCTGCGGCATGAATCTGAATCTCTTCGCGCAAGCACAGGCAAAAAAGCCAGGAACCCTACCTCTTTTGCATCATCCCTGCAATGAACCCCCTTGTCTTAACTCCCTCTGGCTATTCCTCTGCTTTTTGGTGAGCATGCATGTGACAAGCAAGGTGCCTAGCTCTACAACAGAGGTAAAGGGAGCAGGACAGATACAACTCCTTGGCAACCCGCAACGCCCCCTGCCTTCCAAGTCCTGAATTTTGGAGATGGGGTTCGCCTTGCAGCAGTATGCTGTCAGTACAGGCGGGGCATGTGGCAGCGGACGTGAAGTGGGCGTGCCGAGCAGCATGTCTCCACAAACATGCCAGCCACAGAAACCGAAACACCACTCTGAACTGGACATTGGCTGTCATCTATTTCTTTTGCGTACTACTTTCAAGCTTGCCCAAACTGAATCATCGTCCAAAGTCCTTTGCTGTAAGCATGGCGACCTTCAGCATCAATCGCTCAAGCTTTGGAGCGCCGCTCAGGTCCTGGACCTTGCCGGTTGAAAGGATGACACCAGCGCAGCGCGAAACTAAAACTTTCATGGTCAAGACTTCGGGAGTGTTTTACCGCTTTCCCGCCATACCCTCACTCTGGCGGGCCCTGCAAGCTCAAGCAAAGATAAGTTCGAGGTGAATAGGGTGAGCAATATCTGCACATGCAACAACGCGCAGGTTGATCAGGACAACTTCCCAGACCACCAAAGCCGATTCTTTTCTGGTCTTGTGAGTTTCGCCTACACACATGAAGGGGCTCGACGCACCAGGACTGGCTTTCCAGGTCGTCACTTTGGCAGATCATTCTGATGCTAAACAAGGCTCAACCTCTAGCTGTTCTCCTTCTGCTTACGCCGGAAGTTCAACAACAGCCCGCTTACCACTGCACAGGAATTACTCTGGAAGGGGATCGTCTGAAAATACTTGCGGTCACGGTGTTTGCTGGTGCATTGACACATGGCTTCCATCACGTTAACTTGCAGCTCGCCTTCAAGATCTTGTTGAAGGACAGATCTACCTTGCGATGGGCGATGAGTGCCTAATGTTCACTCATATTAATAAACCCCCGCGTAATTGCAGAATCCAAATCCCAGAACGTAATTACAACACCCCCGTAATTGCAAAATCCAACCTGCCAAAACGCAAAAAATTCTGGAAGCGCTCGAAGAGTACTGTGTTGCCCAAGATTAGGAAAACGCTACGACGACTGGAGTTCCAGCTGACGGTCCCGGACACCCTTAATTACGGAGGCTTGGGTTCACATCCTTAGGCGGGGGGGAGGGGGGGTTTCTTATTCTGAGGTTAACATTAAGAGGATGTAAGGTTTGAAGATGCCACCTCCAGCGAGGACCCTGATCACAGAGCTGTTAAACTCTGAACGATCATGAGCTCGTGTTCTGGCCATGATTGAACATTTGGGAGTTGGGAAACGCGCAAAGATTTTGAGCTGAAGCTTGCGCCGTGTCAGCGAAGACTTTGGAATCTGGAGAGCAATGGGACTCCCATCTTGACTTCAACATCAGAAGATGGCGCTGTGGGTGCTAGAGCCTGATGGCAGCCTACTAGTTCCCTTCGTAAAATGCCCTCAGCTTCCAACTTGCTGCCCAGCAACTGATACAAGCTGGCTTAAGCCGTCCAGGTTCTCCATGCCTTGCCCGCGCGTTGAAGAGTTAGTGATCGCACGGAGCAAGCGCGCAACGTGAAGCACAGGGTGATTGCCAGGCTGCTGCACGTGACTATTGCAGCTTTTGATTCAGCTAGGTTCAGCCATTCCTTTGGTACTCAGATGCTTGCGGACTATCTGGTTCTTCGACAAATCCAGCCATCGCAGGTTGCAGCCTGATCGAGGTCATAAGAACCAAAGCGTACACATCCTGCGCTGAAGACTTAACGAGTGACCTTGGAGGATGGGCTCATCTGGACAAAAATCTCAAGGCATGCGAAGCTGCTCTTACTGCTCCTCATTGTTTCTGGGTGCTGGGGAGCGAGCACTTGCCAAGTGGCTCAATCCTTGTGATCGAGCCTCAGAGCAATTCGAAAGGCAATGCTGCGGCCAGCTGAGACATCCCTTTTTGCTGCCAGCGAGCGGTTGGGGAGGATTGCCTGGAAGACACTCTCCTGCAACAGCTGCAACGCAACCACTTGAAGCATCCCTGACGGGTCATTGTTCCAGCCTCATCAAACTCTCCCGTCGCATGCTTGACATACTCTACTGTCAGGGGAGGCATGCTCAGCAAGGCCAATTGAGCCACACAGCTGTCACACGAATACGAAACTGTCCGTGGAATGAGAGTCGCCCAACACCAAGACCAAGCTGCAGCATAGTTGCAGTCAGCAACTTCTTGTTTCTTCATTTTGCATTGGCTCTCCGCGCCCAAGTAACCAAGGCGTCGCTCCGTGGAGGAGACCGTGCCTGGGCGGGGGGAGGACTCCTCCCCTGGAACCTGGTCAACATGCAGCAAACACATAAACAATGATGTTGATTCTGTGACGCGGTCCGCTCCGCAATGCGATGCTGGATTGCTCGTATTACTCTCGGTATGCTTGCTTTTGGTGAGTGATAGCTTGCATTGCCAAAACTGCCTCTGCCAGCGAATCGCCACTCACTACATTTGCTGCACTTTGTTTCTTGGAATTGGCCCGCAAATTCTATGTAGTAGGTCGACATGGTGCCTTGAACATTGCTCGCCCAGTGCGCGAAGACCTCCGGGCAAGTCCTGCACCGCAAGCTGCTTATGATATTGCACGCTTTGAAGCTGCTGCGCAGGTTGTCCGTTTATCTTTGTTGGAATGCACCGCAAAGCTTTCCGCAGATGAGCCGTTTCTGCCTCCTTCTTGAGAAGCCGCAGCATGGACTCGGCTCGCAATGCCTGGCAAGTGCGAAGCATGGCCGATCGACTTCCGGCTGATCCTGCTCTGCAAAGCCGGGGTCTTTACCCTGCTGCGAAGCGCCGCAGTATTGCGCCCAGCCGCCTGAGAAGTGGTTTGCGTTGGAGTTAAGTCAGAGTAAAGGTCAGAACATAGACTTGGCACAGAAGCAAGACGCAAAGTCAATACAAGCAAGCAACACCAGCGCATTGCATTCGTTTAAGGTACCATGAACAGAGTGAATGTTAGTTCCATGAGGCAGTGGTGCACCTGAAACATTAGCCAACAGCAGGGAACCGCAGAATCTATTGCAAATATCCTTGGCTAGAAGCTTCCCGTCATTTGGCATGACACGTGACAAACATCTTGGTTATGGGATGTGCACAAATGGGTTCTAGAATGCACACAAAATTAAGTTGAGCTTTCGTCGGGCCTGATTGTACCCTGTCCATACAAGTAGTCAAAGGGCAGGTGATCTCGCATTTTGCATCAGTCTCAGCAGCAACTCAGCACAGCTGAAGTCAGATGAGGTCATTTACAAGTTCGGCATCAGGCTGCCAGCGCGCATTCAAAGGGGAGCGCAGCTTCGTTAACATCCCTGTACATTCAGGGCAGCGAGCGGCATGGACGAAGCCATTACTGCTAGAAGCGATGACTGCTATCACTAAGAGCTTCTTGTTAGCGTTCACTGGTAGTCCAGCTCAGCGGAGGCAGTCAAAGAAATGAACCTTTGCGCAGCTCGAATATGCCACAACACAAACGCGGACCATGCACGACCATGTAACATGCAGCATCCCCATTTGCAGCAGGGCCGCGGGAGGACAAAGCTCTTTGTTGGGGCGTGAGAACTCCAGATGCAAGAAGCAGCACTGCCTGGGCCGGGCTGACAGCTGCCTTGAAGAGCAACTCTTGGGACTGAAAAACAAGCATGCATTTGCATCAAAGCCACGCCAGAGCTCACTTTCGTCAGTGCAACTGGGTCCACCTCCAAATAGGCTCAACAACCACTCGCCACTGCCAAATCAATCATGAGGTTGAATGTCTGCCGTTTGCGCACCCTGCTGTCTAGTCAGTCTAGTCTGCCCCGGCTGACCGATACCTACCTGCTACGAGCTCGCAATTCGAAACAGGCCGCAGAAGTCGACATATGACAGCAAAAATCTCATGTATGCGCTGAAATCAAGTTCCCTCTCACTGGATCCATTCGTTTGCTCGCAGGGACACATCTACCCAATGCGCGTGTAGGCACACATACTCACATGTCCGCCTCTCAACACGCCAAAAGCAGCAGCAAAGAAGAACAAAACGGGAGGGGGAGGATGAGCAGGAGGAGCAGAAGGCACAAAATAGAGAACCATGCGCGCCTTGGATCGACCCGCGATCGATGTGTAGGCATCCTGTCTGGGCCGCAGATGAGCAGAGCGGGATTCTGCGTGGTCTAAACATACCTGGCTAGACCTGGCTTGTGCATATCTTAGCCTCGAATCCAATCGACCTGTGCTTTGTCTCTCCCCTGTGCCTCGCTGGACAATGCATTGTAGTCCTGGCGCAGGAGACTGTTCATGCGGATGTGACATGCTGCTGCTGGGCCTCTCCAAACTACATGTCAACCACTGACAATGCCATACAAAAGCAGAAACCCGCTGGCAAAAGGGAGGCATGATCACATGCCACTCATTGCGCACAAGACGTGTCCTTCTTCTTTGATGAGGCAGCGCTGCCTGCCACAGTGCGCATGGCTGATTCAGACCAGCACATGCAGCGCACAGGAAGTTCTCCGTTTGAATGAGTCTCTGCCTCTTTGAAAAATAGCAGCCTCCCTCACAGCGCTCATTTTCAAGAATGCTTTGAATGCCAGCCTCGGGTCGGTAAAGAAAGCTTCTGGTTGCCAGCCTTAGGAGCATTGGTCGTAGCCTGGACCAAGCCGCGAAGAAACTTGTTGCCAAAATTGCCTGTTAACCCGCGCCTGCCGCCAGATCTGGGCCTAAAAATTTGCAGTCAGGCGGCGCTGGCGCCGGCAGTGCTTTGTGCCGGTCGAGCACTAGCCTCCTCCACAAAATTTTGGATGAGGCTGCTACTCACGGATTCAGAACCTGTGCAAAATGCAACGAAGATGAATATGAGCGAAAGCCATGCGCTGAACTGCTCCTTGGCGTCAACCTTTTGTTCTTGTGGAATCTCGGTGTCTGCACCCTTCCTGACAATATTCACGCTTACCCACTATTGCTTCAAGCTCGTTAATTACAGCATTGATGGTGTACACACGGCGAGCAGATGCCCTTCAAAGACTTGTTGCAGAGAATGCAGTCACATGCTGGATGTCTCAACACTGCCGTAGACTGAAAACCAACAGACGACCACCACAAAGCGTTGGGGCAATGCTTGACAGCTGCCACAACACAAATTAACAACACGCTCGGACCGAAGAAAACGTTGCACCAACAGAGGAGGCACTGGCGAAGTGAAGACAACAACATGAGTTCGTGCAAGGTGTAGTGCAGAGGCTTTGGCTTATGCAAGCAAGCTTTAGCGCTTGGACTTCCAAAGCTTTCCTAGTTGGAGCCCCGCAGTGAAAAGCAAATGAGCAACGCATGCGGCGTAGCATCGCTTTGGAAGCGGGCACAGCCGCAAACTGCTCGTGAGGATCATCCTTACTGATTCATGCGCAAACACAAGCAAACTACGAAAGTAGGGAAGCCAAATCAAAGCAGGTTGTGGAATGTGGAAGATCACTGCAAGCACTCGCCATTTCAGAACAGGCTTCTGCAGGGCCGCTCGTGTCGGCTGCATTGGCGCTCGCCAGAGCATTCATTCTCACCTGCTAGATGAAAACAAGTCAAGAATCCTGTCAGCAACTACTGTTAGACATACACTTTCATTGATGCTTATCTATATTACAGATAGTGGTCCGATTGCCTCCTCAAACTGGTGTTCGCGGACATTTTGCATACCCTGTTTGGAACAAACCCAAGTTGTTGATGTCCCTTACGCACCCGCTTTAAAGGTTCAAGGCATCAGTAGGTGAATGGTGTCCTGTCAGGCAATGAACAATGCCAATGCACACTCTTGCCCTAGCCCTGCCTCTGCCTCATCCGCTGCTGTCACCAAAGGCGGCTCGGAAGCTTAGTGTTGGACAGGCAGGGCTCTAGAGGCAAGCTGCTTCTGCATCAGCTGCGCTAGCCGTGAAATGCTGGGCCGTCACGTGTTTTTGGCTCTAATTTCGGGCATTCATTCTATTCCAGCCACGCAACCTCGCTCAGCCTCAGCCTCAGCCTCGGCCCTCTTCAAAAGGCCTCTCCTGAGAAACACTTCGAGAGACGTTGAATCCAAGAAACAAGCAATCCAAATTTCCTTGCAAAACACTACGGGACCTGCGGTCGACAAGCTTGAGTGGGCTTCTATAACGCAGGTTTGTACGGCATGCGACTCAACCATGCAAACCAGGCTACATTCCAATCTGAAAAGCTGAATGATTAATGAGATCTCATTTGTAGTGCGTAGGTCTTTCAAGAGCTGCGTCCGAAATTAAAATCAATCGAGGATGGGTTATTGGCAAGTTGAATACAACAGCAGCAGCAGCAGCAGCAACAACAACAACAACGAGAACAGTACCGAAGCAAAATGAATGTGAACAGCTGCTAGTAATTAGTACAAAAGCAGACCGCAGCCAGGGCTCGCTGACTTGTCGAGTGGCTTGCTTAGATGCTGCCTCAGCGAGAGGTGACGGGTCAGGGATTTAAACAAAGGCTTTCTGTCTTTGACGGTTGCCCACTGCATTCCGCACCACGAGCAAGTGCTTCTCCACAGGCATGAAATGTAAGTTAAAGACCATCCGGTGCCTATGCCTGCAGGCTAGCATGAGGCTGGAGCCACTGATGATCCAAGTCATCTTGTGCTTCGCGGGCAGCCCGACCAGAAAATCGGCTCATGTTGGCAGCAGCTCTCAGAGCCTCACTCTTTCATTGAGATCTCTGCCCTGATGCCTTCCCTGACACTATCTGTGAGCCTGGCTCCAAATGCAGCCAGGTCTCTCGCTCCATTCGCTCATTCCAGATCTTCTCCTAGGCACTCGGATCCAGACTCAAAGACTCAATCTGATGTATTTAAGATGAGCGATGACTGACCCTGCAATACGATGTTCTCCTTCAACCGATGCATCTCTAGACACCGCTGGTGAAAAGTTGGCGCATGTGCGCCAAAATCTCAGGCTTCAGCGAAGCTCGGGATCTTCTTCAGCATGTCCCTCGGGTGCCTGTGCGAAATGACCACTGTGTCAATTGCGGTGGTGTAGCGCGTAGCCGCTAATGCTCTTACAATTTTGCCACCGGGCGGCCACGGCGGCGGCGTTGGTTCCCACACAGGATGCTCAGGCTCCTTCTCTGTCTGGAAGGTCTTCTCCTCGTTGGACCACGCTTCGTTGCATGAGGCTTGGCAAACATCGACACATAAATAGCTGCTTCCGCGCCACGTCGATTCCATACCCCACAGGGTGTTCCTTTGCGCTGACCTTGCCTGTACAGCCGCAGCCAGTATGTTTGCTATCCGCTGCTTACTGCAAATTCTTGCAAAATAAAAGTGCTACGTTGCGCCTTCAAGAAAGTTGTTCAACCACTGCGGCTCCACTTTCATCAGGCGCTTGTAGGCTTTCCTTGGAATAGGCTGCATTTCGCAGGCCCCAATGCAGCCAAGACATCTATTTCTGACTTTCTCTCTGACATAAAGCGGGTCAAGCCTCAAATTCGCAAACAGGCCTTGATAGCAAGACATGGCAAAACTCAAGACCACAAAAAAAGGTTAACCACGAGTAGAAACGCGGCATGCCTTGTCAGGCAAGTTGGACAAGCAGTGCATGACAAAGCTCTGTCACCTTTCCGCGCTAGATCACGATGAGTTTCAGCAATCTAAACGCAGCCCAGTTGCATTTCCGCCATGTCGCCGCCAAGCATTTTCTAAGCTCAGTTGATCACACAATACGTATGTGGCTCTGGCTTCAGAACCTTGTAATGGATAGCTTCGTTTTGATCGGGCCCGTACGGCCGGTCGGATTCTCTTTCACCAACTCTAAGGTAGGCTGAGCTTGTGGAGCCATCGTGCATGTGTACACCTTAGCGCAACAAACCTGTTTTGCACTGCTGGCTGTCAGGCACGGTCTCTTCTCCATTGACGATGTGACGGTTGCTGGCTTGTTATTGCTGCTCCTCGTTCTCCTAGCCTTTATTTTGCAACTGCTCAATCTGAACTAGAAACTTTCAACTGCGCACAGCTGGTCCAGATGAAGACTAAGTTTAGGCCAGCGTCTGTCATCATATCGTCTCCCACGCCCAAGGCTCCAGAGTTGCCATCAAAAGCCTGCGCAACTTATCACTTGCGCTGCAACATGTAATAGTAAGAACGATAGTAATGATAATGATAAATTATGATAAGTGATGATCATAGCGATTATACTAGCAATTGGATTCTGCAATCGGCTCCTGCCTGCTTATCATTTGCAATCTGCAACATGCGCGGGCTGGCCTCCATTCTTGCGTCGTGGAACATTTCTTCCCGCTGGCTCTCGGTGTACTTATTCAGGTCAGGTAAACCTGCCGATTTGCACCATGCTGACCCACAGGCGATGGTTTGTGCAGGATCAAATCTTTTGGGCCTGCAGGGCGCGGCAGGCGAGGATCCAAAGTCCCGGGCTCATCCTCTGCAAACCTGCAAGCGGCATAGGTTGCAGCGCAGATCAACATGTCCCGAATCTTCCTACAGACCAACTGATTAATTGCTGCTGCTACTGCCCTGTCATGGAGCCTATCTTCAAACCGCGGAGTGGCACGCTCCAGACCGTGTGGTGTGAACGCTTTCGGAAAGCCTCATCAGGTCTCGCAAGAGATACTTCGTGATAACAACGGTTCATTTGCAAATTGCGATCGATAGCCATGCCTTTCATCGTCGGCCGTCGTAACGTGTGCTCTGCCAGCCACTTCTCTTGATCCCAGTCCGCGTATACTTTCTGATCGGCTTTCTCTCCTGTGCGCTTGACTCACACGAAATATTGTCAGATTGTTGCTTCTCTTGTCGTAAGGCATCCATAAACAAAATTCGGCACCAGCAGGGTCAGGACTGGGCGAGATGCAGCCAGAAAAAAAGCAGCTAGCATGTTGATGTTGCGGGAATTGATATGCCAGGATATTCGCGAGAAGAAGTTAAATTTTGGAATTTCGGAATGGCGATGTGACTTGACTTCACTTCTGCATCCACCCCTCTTCATCTGGCAAAAGCGATTCGAATGCAGCTTGCTACACCAACTGCTGCTAACACGACAATCTCCGAAAGGCAAGACTCTTTTCCGTGTTTGGGTTCTGACCTCTCCGACATTCTGCTCTCATTCTTCATTTAGGGGAGAGGCCTGGAAATGGAATAGGGCCCACATTCCGTACTGCATCCTGGGTCACCAGGTTTACTACCTTCAGCAGGGATGATGTCCTGGACTTTTCGAATAAGCGGTGAAAAGAAGAAATCCATGGTTTCCGGAAGGGAGAAATTCAGAATTCCGGATAGATCTGGCTTCGGGGTGAAGAGCTGAAGTACTTGGCCCTACATGCTGGAACTAGGAGTTAGTTCATGCTTCAGAAATTCTCGTCTATTCCTTCCCATTTTAAACTATTTTGTCTTGAGAGACGATGAGCTCTGTTCCGTTTCCTGTCGCTGCCCAACATTACAGGTTTCTCCGTCCGAGAACCTCAACCACCCCAAACAACACAGGGTTTTGAGTGCGGTGCCCCTTTCTGATGGAACCAGCTTACGGTGTGCCTACGGTGCTTGAAGAGATCCTTCAAATCCCAGCTTCCAGCACTTACGGCAAAACATGGAGTGCGATGTTGCTTGCGGTAGCTCACGAAGGCCAGGCTTTTGCTTACCGCTGCTTCCTTTCTGCCACTCCCCTTGTTGTTTCCTTTTACGGAGTTTTGATCTTTGCTCACTCGGGGTTGTTGACCGATTTTGGTCAGTCTTGCTCTGCAGATCTCTGGGTATACAAAAGTTTAAGTTGTTACAATACGAAGCCTACATGGGGTCTCTTACAAAGGTCACAAGGGCTACATTGGGTCTGTTTCAGGAGTACTAAGGGCTAGGAGAAGGGGCATTCAGGGGTCATAAAGCCTGCATAGGGTCCGTTCGAAGGAGGTATAAGTGCGTTATAAGGACTATAGAGGGTCCCTTTAAAATCCTTTAAAGGGGTTACAGCGGCTATGGAGGGTCTCTCACCAACATTGTAGGGACAGTGTGGGGTTGGGCAGTGCAGGGACACTTTGCGGCTGGACACGCAGGGATACTCTGCAGTCAGGCACTGTGCGGAGGGAGAAGAGAACATGGACTTCTTCACTTTGAGGGTCGCGAACAGTGCGACTGGCGTGTTCAAAGTTAGCTTGGGCAGACTTTACTTCCTGGTGCTTACTGGAGAGTGGGGGCGTGGAGCCCGAATAATCCCTTTAAAACCCCCACATATACCCCAATAATGGTACCTCTGTTCATTTTCCCACTCCACCTTAAGCACCAATGGGTTGAGTTAACTTCGCTGCAGCTGAAGGCACTGCGAAAGGTTCCGCGCCGTGGCCAGGGAGCACCAGGCTGCTCCAAGTCGTAGCCTAATTGTTAAAGTAATAGTGCTCGTAAGAGTAATAGTAATAGTAATAATAGTCATAGTAATCACATAACAGTAGTAGAAATAGCAATAATAATAGTAAGAGTAATACTCCGCCGACCCCTGGACCCGGCGCCCAGCAGGTTCCCTTACCTCCCTCACCATTTCCCCGCATTTGTACTTTTTTTTTATCTACCTTTCTGCCCCCACATCACGCGTATCCTGGTGTCCTCAGACTCGCCCCTCCCCTTTTTCTATCCCAGGTCCACCCACCC